AGTGTGAAGCCCTCAAAATTCAATATTCCATTTCATCGTCTTTAATCTACGGTGTCGCTTCAATACGCGGTCGATCGAGGCTCTCTATATCTTCCTGTCCTTGATATTCTTAGTAATGTTTTATCTTTTTACTATACCCTCCAAATCCTTATCCTGTCATTCATTTTCACAAGTTTCTTAAGTACTTTATTCGCTGTTTTCCTGTGTCTCTCCTGCTCTTTTAATATGTCAAGTGAGGGTCAAATACTTCACGCCATCTTGCCCCATGATGTGTCTTGGAAATTTCAAATGTCTCTTTCTAATTTGAAGTATAAGTGTCCTTTATTGTTTCCATTAAAACTTCGTCGTTACATTCACGTGATTTTCAGCACACTTTTTAAGAACCTTATTTTCGTTGCTTTAAGTCTCTTCTCCAATCTGTGGTTGACTGGGACAGGAAATAGCTTGTAAATTTTAATCTCTCCAAAACTAAACTGCTCTCATTTAACCATCATAGAGAAACGTCCATCTCCACCCTCCTCATCAGCATGGGTGATGCTCGTCTCCGAGACGAGCGCCTCACTGTGCCTTTTTGGCCTCGAGTATTCAACTGACTTGAAGTAGAACAACTACATTGAATCAATAGCTGCATCTACTGCAAGGAAAGTTTGGTTCACTGTGTCGTGCCAAAAGGTATTTCTCGTCAAAGTTCATCTTGCACGTGTACAAATCTACAATTCGTCCTTGTATTGAATACTGTTGCCATATCTGGTCTGGTGCCCCTGCTGTTCATTTTGAAGTTCTTGACAAAATCCAAAGAAGGATCTGTAATGTAATCAGTCCTGAATTGTCTTCTCGACTTCTGAGACTTTCTCACAGACGTGATGTGGCTTCCCCGTGTCTTTTCCCTCAAACATTTTCATGGCTACTACTCTGACGAGCTTTTTTTTCTCGTGCCCCACTACATGAATTTAAGCGTTTTACTAGATTGGCCTCTAGGTCACACTCATATACTTTTGAAATAGTTAAATGTTACCGACAATTTTACTCCAACAGTTCATTTCCTCGCATTTCACTGGAACTTCCTTGCTTCCCTGATAACTACAATCTTCAAAAATTTAAATGTCACTTCAATCGCCATCTTTTGTTGCCTTAGAAGATTGAGGAAATGAAAAAAAGGACAGGGGTCAACCCTGTCCTTTTTTTCATTTTCTCAATCTTCCCTACACCCACTCTTTTCTTTCACTTTCACTCTCCGTAATCCCCCTCTCCCCTGCGTGATAATAGCACTCCTGTCTTGCTTGGGGCTAAATGCTTAAAAAAATGTGAGGAGATTGTCCAGTATTCATTGTCATAAAGGAGGGCTTTGTTAAGATAGTTCCACTTATTCACCAGATCCTGTTCACAGCTCCATGTAAAATAACCACAACGGCAGTAGTAGTAGTAATTCTCGCTTACTTTATTCTCGTATCAACGTGATACAAATACAGAAATACACTAGACCCCTGGTCACTCAAGTACTTATTATATCACCGGAGCAGAGAAAGTGAAAAAGTGACTGGAGTCGAGACCCCACGTCAGGACCGATCACATTGCATATCCGTCGTTGGAATTTGTCGGGAACCTCGAGATGCACAGCAGGGGCACCAGACCATGTACGGCAACAGTATACCATGCATACGAATTTGTAGATTTGAAGGATTGAGTCTCATATGCGATACAGAGAACGAACTTTCCTTGCGGTAGATGCAGCAATTGATTCAGCAATGTTTTCTTTACTTCCAATGAAATCTTCCGGATTTCTTATACTTTGCTCATCTTTTAGAAGACTTCTTTTGGTATCCTAATGTACCTTCGGATTTCGGCGTCACGTTCTCCGTCCTCTGTTAAAACACTAAATATATAGTTAAATTTTCATACTTTCTTCATTTTGAAAGCTCGCATCTTGGATTGTTCCTCCTAACAACCAAGGAAAATTTAAAGCCAAACTACATAAGATTACTAAGTTATCAAAACTTATATATATATATATATATATATATATATATATATATAAATGGAAGTGTAAATGGATATAAATCCGACAGAATGAAGAAATTTTGAAAAAAAAACAAACAAAAATCCTTAAATGTAAGACAAAATTCATCTGAATTGTCGACGTCTGACGAATTTGTCTTTTAAAAAGGTTTTCAATAAACATCTGAAACGTCAGACGTCGAATATTTCTTGATTTAACTACATTTATGATTTTTGTTTGTTTTTTTCAAAATTTTTTATATATATATATATATATATATATATATATATATATATATATATAAGAAAAATAAGAAAACTAATATTATCAACGCGTTTCGTCCAATGTGGACTTTTTTTAAAGGCAAAAACAAAATGAATTTATGAAAACAAAGTAATTAACAAAAGAATTTAGAAAACCCTATTATATTCATATTGTCAACTGAACCTCACGTCACGTGTGGAAATATTTTCAGTTTACAATATGAATATAATAGCGTTTTCTAAATTCTTCCGCCTGCTAAGTAGTTACTTTGTTTTAATAAATTCATTTCTCTTTTGCCTTGAAATAGTCGACATTGTACGAAACACGTCGGCTGATATTACAGTTTTCCTATTGTCTTTTACATTTATAAATATTGTCTTTTTCTGCAGGTTAACTATGAGAAATTTTTCATTTATATATATATACACATATGATTCGCAGATAGTACTATTTCGCTGTATCACAGCTCCTCGGTGCGACTAGACATCCGAATGCCTCAAGCCAGGATCGAAACCCAACCGATTTGGTGTCAGTCAGAGCTTCTACCACTGAGCTATCTTCATTCGGAAGCAATTCATCCCAAGCAAGGCGGGAGTACCACTAGTACGCAAGAGTCTTGATATAATGGAATATGCATACACCTGTATTCCCCCCTCACTGGAATATGATTGGCTGGTGTCCGTCATAAATATCGACGGATGTGTAGGAGAGTCAAAGAGCCTTAGTCTGAGAGCTAAGTCTATAACGACGCCCAGTGGACTACGCCATTGATCTACACTTCTTACCTGCGACTACGACGCGTACCAGTCGATTACTGCTACCGTATTCTACTTGGTTATAGTAGCCAAAACCACTTAGCTTCTTCGATCAAATATATCCCTTTCCGGGACATATCAGGTCTACAGAGAATGTAAGCAAGGGAAAAGACTGAATATAGCGGAGGGGTGAAGAAAGGATAAAAAGAAGAATGTAGGAGGAACAAAAAAAGAACGGGGATCAAAGCAACAGAAGATGTCGATTGACATTACATTTAAATTTTTGAACATTATAGTTATTAGGGAAGCAAGTAAAAGGAAGGGAGTTCCACTGTCGGGAAGTGCAAGAGAAGAAGCTGTTGGAGTAGAAGAGGCGGTTACATTTAATTGTTTCTACAGTAAAATGGCGGGACCGAGATGCCAACCATAAATTCATGCAAGACGGGGCACCAGTGAAAATAGCTCGTCAGAGTAGATACCATGAAAATGTTTATAGAAAAGACGGAGAGAAGTGACATTACGTCGGTGAGAAAGTGACTGACGTCGAGGTCTCAAGTCAGGACCGATCATATTGCATATCCATCTCTTGGATTTCGTCGAGGACCTCGAGATGAACGGCAACAGTATACCATGCCTGGACGAATGGTAGATTTGTATATGTGAAGGATGGACTCAGTCGAGAAAAACCTTCTGGCGCGCCACAGAGAACCAACTTTCCTTGCGGTTGATTCGGCATTTGATTCAAAGTAGTTGTCCCACCTCAGGTCAGTGGAGAAGGTGAGACCACGAAGGCGCAGTGAAGCGCTCTCGTGGAGTTAAGCATCAACCATGCTGATAGGGACGTTTCTCTATCGTGAGAAAATGACAGCAGTTTCGTTTTGGGTGCATTAAAATTCCCAAGCCATTTACTCTCCTAGTCAACCACAGATAGGAGGTTTTCGAGACCGGCGGCCAGGTTAAGTTTGTCAGTCATGTCAGAGCTTCTATTGAGACAGGAGTAAATGGTAATGTCGTCTAAAAAAGGCGCTCACTTTATATTCTTCAACTAATTTTTTACAGATATGTCCCCTGTAGAAAAAAAAATTGGTTAAATTTCCTGCTGTCGATCTGTCAATAGAGCTGTCTGCTCCGAATAAAAACATCTTGCTCAGTGTTATAAAATGCATTTTAAACTAAAAGTAATGAAATCAGATTAATGAAAATTTAAATCAACTAATATTTCTCAAATAAAATATCAGAATATTTTAGTATGTATTTTGAATACGTTTTAATAGAGAATTACATTGTGATGGCAAAAATTGGCTCTAAAATCAGCGATTTTAAAATGAAAACTTTCCAGTCAATTTAACTTTGTTTTGAAACACAGCAACGAACTTTGCATATTGGAAATATTGAATTTAATCTATTTGCTTGAAATTAAAACTATATTAAAAACTTCAAGGAAGAATCTTTATTTTTGAAAGATTATTTTTAAACCTTAGACATCGTGTTTCTATTAGACATAGCGTGTAATATCTCTGGAATTGGTACTTACTCCCAGAGATAGTCGGGATCATCTCTGAGAGTCGTACGCAAAGATTCTAATATCAATGCTGTCATTGCCCCTGATCCAATGAGTATGAACATAAAGAGTTAATACTAATACTATCGGAATTACCAGTCCCATGACCCATTAGGAACACTGAATGTACTGTAGCCGTAGCTGCAGTTGGAGGGGGGGACATGCTAGCCTGACAAGACCCATTCCTTTTCAGGCTATTCGTACCAGAATATCTTAAATTGAGGTCCTTCGATGTTGCTTCCCTGCCAATTCGTTTTCACAAGACGAATGCTTTTGCAACTGAAGTCGTTTCTTGTCACGCACAGACAAAACCGTCATGAGAAAACAGAGGCCATAAATACGTCTGTCTGTTCGTCAACGAACGAACGAGACAGCGGACAGCAGTGGAGGCGGGTGTAGCGAAGGTCAATAAATTAGGCAAAACAAGTTTCCTACAAATATTTCAAAGCGCTCATTAGTCACTGTCCAATCGACGATCGGAGATTCGTGTGGGAGGGAGGTCCTGAAGGTCAAAGAGTTTGATACTCCGTCCGTATCTCGGTGACGAAGCAGGAAGAGAGCAGCGGCTCGCGTAAATGGCCCGACGAGAATATTTTTAAAAAAAAAGAAAAAAAAAAAAAAAAGAAAAGAAAAGAAAAGAAAAGAAAGAAAATAATAATAATAATAAATGTCAACGGAAATAAAGCAGGTTGGATGGATGTAGAAGGACATCAATTACCTCCCCTGACAGATGGCAGCAAACTGATGTGCGAATAGACAGTTTGCTTCGGCGCGGTCACAGATCAAGTTTAGAAAGATGGCCAGCTGCCCGTGGCATCAAGCAGACCGCAAAGGTCTGCAAATTAGCCCGGGACCAAACCTCGGATGGCCTGAAACTGTGTGTTTGACAGGCGGTCGAAAAGACTTAAGGAAATTTTTGGAAAGATGACCTCATTTTTAACACCATGAATACCAGTGCATACAAAACGGATCTACTGTGGATCGGAAAGGGTTCAAGAAATGCTTCTTCTTCTTCTTTTTCTTCTCGCTCCACCTCCTTCTTCTTCTTCTTCTTCTAGCCCTTCTCGTCCTCCTCCTTCTTCTTCTCGCCCTTCTCCTTATTTCTCTTTTTTCTTCTTCTTCTCACTCCTTGTCCTCCTCCTCTTCCTCCTCCTCCTCCTCTTCCTTCTTCTTCTTCTTCTTCTTCTTCTTCTTCGTCTCGCCCTTCTTCTTCTTCTCGCCCTTCTCCTTATTTCTTTTTTTTTCTTCTTCTTCTCGCTCCTCCTCCTCCTTCTTCTTCTTCTTCTTCTAGCCCTTCTTCTCGTCCTCCTCCTTCTTCTTCTTCTTCTTCTTCTTCTTCTTCTCGCTCTTCTCCTTATTTCTCTTTTTTCTTCTTCTTCTCGCTCCTCCTCCTCCTTCTTCTTCCTCTAGCCCTTCTTCTCGTCCCCCTTCTTCTTCTTCTTCTCGCCCTTCTCCTTATTTCTCTTTTTTTTCTTCTTCTCACTCCATGTCCTCCTCCCCTCCTCCTCCTCTTCCTTCTTCTTCTTCTTCTTCTTCTCGCCCTTCTCCTTATTTCTCTTTTTTCTTCTTCTTCTCGCTCCTCCTTCTCCTCCTTCTTCTTCTTCTTCTTCTTCTAGCCCTTCTTCTCGTCCCCCTTCTTCTTCTTCTCGCCCTTCTACTTATTTCTCTTTTTTCTTCTTCTTCTCGCTCCTCCTCCTCCTTCTTCTTCTTCTAGCCCTTCTTCTCGTCCTTCTTCTTCTTCTTCTTCTTCTTCTTCTTCTTCTTCTTCTCCCTTCTCCTTATTTCTATTTTTTCTTCTTCTTCTCACTCCATGTCCTCCTCCCCTCCTCCTCTTCCTTCTTCTTCTTGCTCCTTCTTCTTCTTCTCGCTCTTTCTTCGCACAAGCTCACTAAAAAGGTGTCTCGTTGTTTCTGTTCGTAGCTCTTGCCTTAAATGTGTCAAATCTCCCAGCCTTTCCTTTCCCTTCATTGCGTGCTGACAACCATACATTCTGAGCACCTGCAATTGACGTTTAGTCCTTTCTTCTTGCTTTCTTGCACTACCCTTTCGTAAAAGTTCTTGTAGTTTCCTTTCTATATCTGCTATCGACATTGTGTAATCTGCATATCTTACGTTGTTAAGATTGTGGCTTCCAATAATGAATCTTAGTAGGACTTCTAATTCTCTCAGAATCGCCTGACAGTGTAGGCTGAATATGTCCGATGAGAAGACACACCCTTGTCTTACACACCTTTCTATTTTTGCGCCTTTACTGAATTCATTTTCTATCCATATGCAGATGGTTTAGTCCCTGTATAAGTTCTGGATTATTCTAATATCCTGCTCAAATAATTCAAGCTTACCTATTAGTTCGAGTAGTTCTTTATGACGTACTTATTATTATTAATTAATCTTTGTTCATCATGATTCTGTAGAACCATATACATGTTACTGCCTTTACACTATTTGCCGTAACAATTACTGCTAAAAAGATAACGGGTTAAAATCGTTTTGTTCCAGCTACACTATGTCTTTCCAACTGAGCAATGGTGAGAGGAAAAGATCATTCAGGCGTCCAGTAATGGCACCAACATTCATACACTGGTTTCCATCCTCAAAGTCCATTTAAGAACCATCAAGAGAACGGTGAATAAGTTTAAAAAAAGAGGGAACAGTAGATAGGAAAACTGGATCAACTTAAAGCTAAAGAGATCAGTTAGAAAAGATCCAACTAAATCCATGAGACGTTTGGAACGTGAGAGAGGAGTTTCAGTTATGTCAGTTAAAGAGCAGTGAAAAAAAAAACTTGAAAATAAAATCGTACGCGATCGTGTGAGGCAACTTGTTACTCCAGGACAGAAAGTTAGAAGATTAAAGAGGGCGAAGATCATCTTGAATAAGTTGAAAATGATATTGGATATATATATATATATATATATATATATATATATATTTGAACTTTATTTCAATCCTTTATGAGCTTCCGATCCTTAGCCATGATTAATTAATGATGAACATGTCAATTTTGTTTATGATTGATTTCATCACGATTCTTCTGTTAAGCTTGAAGAGCAATTATACATTCTTAGTGCTCAAACGTAGAGTCCAGTAGTGTTATAAACACCTCGGAGAATTCCAATAAGATATCTTTAATCATTTCTAAGATACAACGATTCAGATCTTAATCTAATAATTGGGCAATTTAGCTGTTACACGATTTGGACATTTTTGCTGTTACGCCCAGTATATCTGCAAAAATAGAAAGAAGCTTAAGACAAGGAAGTGTCTTCTCGCCGGACTTCTTCAACTTCTACAACGAGGCGATCCTTTAGAGAACTAGAAGCCTTACCAGGATTTATTGTTGACGGGAACTGTTACAGTTTTTTGTGTATATATGCATGTAACTAGTGAGTTAGTCAAAATGACTTAACTCCCTTTATAGTCTACCAATAGAAGGTTAACCAATCAGAAGCCGCAGAACATTCTATCTGTCGTGTATAAAAACGGCCATTTTTGTTTACCCTACCCGAATGACCAGTGTCAACTTGTCAGGCGAAGATGACAGAAGGAAGTAGTACGCTCTGCTACTTTGCTCCGAAATATTCACTGCTAGCCTCTAGATTCTATACTCGAAGACGACCGTCAAAATGTCCAACAGGAACAATCACAGCAATCTCAAGATATACAGAACTTTGATGGCAGACGCAGAAAGGAAACTGCAGAAACAGGATGGTAAAGGAAAGGAAATAATAAACATTAATTGTAAGAAGACAGAAAATATGTTTGCCAGCAAGATTATCCCAAGATGCGAGGGACAAACTGGGACATGTTAGAATCAAACAACCCTGAACATTTCATTATTAGGTAGTGTTTTTGTTATATAGTAATAAAGTTACGCTGTCAACACTTAAATTTGAACATAGATCGCCAGTGAGCAAACGTAAATAGGAAGTGGCGTGACGTCCAACTGATCATCATTTTTAGCCTATCCTCTATTTGGATCTGCATTTCTATTTTATCATCTAATTCTATACGGACCGCTATTCTCTACTCTATTCATTATACTATTTCATTATTCGGATCACTATACGGTGATTACTATTCGAGAGAGTATTATCGAGCAAGTGCTATTAGTGCGAGTGATATTCGAAGGCGTCTGACACCAGTATTGTTTAACGGCGTTACTATAGTTGTATCTGCAATTACAAAGTCTCTACTACAACGAGCATTACGAGAGTGACAACGAGTATTCGTTAACATTGCATAAGTCACAACCAGTGTCTATTGATGTTACAAAAGTTTTAAATGTAACACCGAAAACCGAAAGCGAGGCCTTCTAAAGGGGGAGCAAGGTATGAAGAGACAGGAAAATTTCATTAGAAGCAAAGACAACTGCTGAAATGTTCTGTAATCTCGGCTTTCCTATATGGCATTGGATACTGGACAATCACCTCACAGATGAAGAAGAGAATTGGATGCAATGAAAATGTGTTTCTAAAGAAAGATGTTGAAACAAGTGTAACGACGAAGCTTTAGAAAAATGGAAACAAATAGGAAACTTATACTTGACATCAAAAACATTTGAAATTTATAGGGAAAAAAAGAAAGACTGCTGAAATGTTCTGTGACCTCAGCTCTCCTCTATGGCATTGGATACTGTACAACCTCCTCACAGATGAAGAAGAGACTTGGACTCAAGGAAAACTTTTTCTCCCTTATACATACATTATTCAAATTTATCACACTTTTATGCATGGATTATTTATATTTATCTCACGTTTGTACATGAATTATTCAATGTTATCTCACCTTTGTGCATTTCGTTTGAAAATGCAAAACAAAGGAATGTTAATTAACAAGGTATTCAAAAAATTTTTTACAATTTTTCCTGACTTTTACGTCATCCATATTAATGGATGCTTTCTCTTCTTATGACTTAACGACAAAATAAATATTTCAATATTCATTTTACGTTTATTTGCAACTCATTATTTTAGAAAGAATTGCCTTTTTTTATGGAGAATCCATTAGCAGTGCACTTTTATAATAAACATCTTACTTTCTTAAAATGTCGTGTCCTTTCAGGAGGTAATCTATCATAAATCTCTACAGATTTTGTCATTTGTTATTAAACTTCACTAAATTTCAAGCCTCGAATATGTACCCACGTTAAAGCGTTACTATTGAAATGGTTATGGTAAACGAGGCGTGAAATATAACTGAAATAGAAGATGGTTGAAAATGAAGATTATGAGAATAAATAAGGATTGAGCCTTGACTAAAATTAAAATTGTAGTATTCCGGAAAGCATCCAGGCGGAAGTCTGTTCCATAAAGTGATAGTTCTTGGGAAAATACTGAATGGATTTTTCTCCTTACATATGGAATACAGAGGAAATCAGGCTGATTCGACTCAATGGAAGTGGTATAGCAAATCCTTGCTGTAAAGGTTCGAACTGGGGGAACTAAACAATGGAGCTCGTCTGAGCAATTGCCATGGAAATAGCAACAGAGTAACGATAGACTTAATTGACGTTACATCCGTGAGTTGCAAGGGAAAGACATTAAATTAGCTAATTTCTTAGGAAGGTCTAAATGTCGTCATTAGCCTTGATATTGATTTCAGTTACGTATTTGATGAATCCTACATAATTTGAAAATCATCACCAACCTCTGAATCGCATTTAAATTGAATATTTTGAGATGTGATTTCACAGACAATTTAAAGCACCC